CCACTGGCCGTTGGCCGCGCGCGCCCCACGTCCTGCACCGGCCGCTCGTGCCGCCCCTACCAAGCGGCGCTGGCCCCCAGCGCTCCCGCCCGCGCACCCCCCCTGCGGCCACCTCCGGCGCCGGTGCCCCGGTGTTTCCCCTCGCCCGTGCCGGTTCGGGCGAGCGCCCCCGACCGCGCCTGTTAAGCCCGCTCCAGTGGCCTATGTGCCACTGGCAACTGGGGCCCCTTGGAGTATGACAAGTGGGGCCCAGCCCCAGAAACGTTAAAAGAAATATTAATAAAAATAATTAAATAATTAAATAATAATTAAATTAATTAATTAATTAAGGAATTAATTAAGTTAATTAATCATAATTAGATTAACCTAATTAACTAATTAGTTTAATTAAACAGTAATTAGATTAGTTAAACATTAATTAGACTAAACAGTCAATGACAAACGGGACCCACACGTCAGTTGACCAGTCAACACCTCTGTTGACTGCTGACGTCATGCTGACGTCAGCGTGCACTGTTCTGGATAATGTTGGATTAAAATATTTAAAATAAATGCTAAAAATGATTTTAATCTTTTAAAATTAATATAAAATAAACCGTAGCTCAGATGAAAAAACTTTGTACATGAAAGTTGCTCAGAACGACGAGACGATTCCGGTTACGCAGCCCGTTCGTCCGCCACACCTCCCTAGCATAGCAAACATGCAACTTTTCCCCTCCGGCTCCTCTGCCCGAAAACACGAAACACCTGGGATAATTTCCCGGATGTTTCCCCCCTTCACCGGTACCACCTCGTACCGCGTTAGGGCACACCTAGCACCACGCTTTGTCATGTCATGCATCGTCTTGCATTTGTTTGCATTATATTTATTGTTTCTTCCCCCTCTTCTCTCGCTAGACACCGAGACCGACACCGCTGCTACCCAGTACGACTACGGAGTTGACGACCCCTCTCTCTTGCCAGAGCAACCAGGCAAGCCCCCCCCCCTTGATCACCAGATATCGCCTACTCTTCTCTATACTGCTTGCATTAGAGTAGTGTAGCATGTTACTGCTTTCCGTTAATCCTATTCTGATGCATAGCCTGTCATTGTTGCTACAGTCATTGATACCTTACCTGCAATCCTAAATGCTTAGTATAGGATGCTAGTTTATCATCATTGGCCCTGCATTCTTGTCAGTCTGCCTTGCTATACTATCGGGCCGTGATCACTTGGGAGGTGATCACGGGTATATACTATACATTCATACATACTATACAGATGGTGACTAAAGTCGGGTCAGCTCATTGAGTACCCGCAAGTGATTCTGACGAGGGGGCTGAAAGGACAGGTGGCTCCATCCCGGTAGAGGTGGGCCTGGGTTCCCGACGGCCCTCGACTGTTACTTTGTGGCGGAGCGACAGGGCAGGTTGAGACCACCTAGGAGACAGGTGGGCCTGGCCCTGTTCGGCGTTCGCGGATACTTAACACGCTTAACGAGATCTTGGTATTTTATCTGAGTCGGCTACGAGCCTATACGCACTAACCATCTATGTGGGAGTAATTATGGGTATCCCGACGTCGTGGTATCAGCCGAAGCACTTCAGACGTCAGCGACGGAGCGGCGCGCGCCGAATTGGACTGGAACGCCACTAGGCTAGGTCTGCTTTCGGCTGCCCACGCAACGTGCAGGTGTGCTCAGGGCGATGGGCCCAGACCCCTGCGCGCTTAGGTTTAGACCGGCGTGCTGGCCTCTCTGTTGTGCCTAGGTGGGGCTGCGACGTGTTGATCTTCCGAGGCCGGGCATGACCCAGGAAAGTGTGTCCGGCCAAATGGGATCGAGCGTGTTGGGCTATGTGGTGCACCCCTGCAGGGAAGTTTAATCTATTCGAATAGCCGTGATCTTCGGTAACAGGACGACTTGGAGTTGTACCTTGACCTTATGACAACTAGAACCGGATACTTAATAAAACACACCCTTCCAAGTGCCAGATACAACCGGTGGTCGCTCTACCTCAGGGATATGAGGAGGGGATCGCCGGGTAGGATTATGCTATGAGATGTTACTTGGAGATGCTACTTGGAGGACTTCGACCTACCCTCTTCTGCCTGTTGCAAGACGAAGGTGACCAGAAGCGTAGTCTTCGACAGGATTAGCTATCCCCCTCTTATTCTGGCATTCTGCAGTTCAGTCCACTGATATGGCCTCCTTACACATATACCCATGCATATGTAGTGTAGTTCCTTGCTTGCGAGTACTTTGGATGAGTACTCACGGTTGCTTTTCTCCCTCTTTTCCCCCTTTCCCTTCTACCTGGTTGTCGCAACCAGATGCGGGAGCCCTGGAGCCAGACGCCACCATCGACGACGACCCCCTACTACACCGGAGGTGCCTACTACTACGTGCAGCCCGCTGACGACGACCAGGAGTTGTTAGAAGGATCCCAGGCAGGAGGCCTGCGCCTCTTTCGATCTGTATCCCAGTTTGTGCTAGCCTTCTTAAGGCAAACTTGTTTAACTTATGTCTGTACTCAGATATTGTTGCTTCCGCTGACTCGTCTATGATCGAGCACTTGTATTCGAGCCCTCGAGGCCCTTGGCTTGTATTATGATGCTTGTATGACTTATTTTATTTGTAGAGTTGTGTTGCGATATCTTCCCGTGAGTCCCTGATCTTGATCGTACACATTTGCATGCATGATTAGTGTACGATTGAATCGGGGGCGTCACACCTACCGACCAGGCATGACAAAGCGTAGCACATGTCGGCCAAGCATGACTTAACATCTCCATCGAAGCTCCGTGCAAGACGAAGCCGCTCCACCTCCTGCCTCTGACTTCCAGCGCTGCTCCACAAACGATGCTCCCAAGAGAGAAACGACACTGCAGTGCCGCCATCGTCCGATCTGGAACACCAGATCCTAGGGTTTTCCCAGAGCAGCACGAGTGGGTCAACAATAGTTACACGACGATGCCTCCATCAAGATAACGGCGTAGAACGCCGCCATCGCCTGCCAACGGCTCGGTTTTCACCGGTAACCATGTCTCCCCAACTCGCAGCCGGGACTAGATGATGGATCTCGAGATCCGACCACCAAGTCTCTGGCCGGCCATCTCTGACGAAGAAGATAACCACCACCATTGGCCAGCGAGACGACGCGAGTTGAAGTAGGGCGCTGCCAGCATGCATCCTGGCCAGCACCACCGGCGCTCGGCCCGTCCCAAACCACGCCTCATGGCTGAGGGCAACAGCAAGCGCTGCCACGACAAGGACGCGGACCGGAAGCCCAGATCCGGCCCACCCGCGCGCCGCCACGTGGCCACCACCAAGCGCCGTTCAGGGGCAACCCCGCCGCCGTGAGGGACGCCGCCCCACGGGCAGCAGGCGCCAGCCACCGGCGGAACACCGCCACGCGCCACCGGCCGCCGCGAGAACATCAACCAAACATATCATCCACATGTTGTGCCCACCATTGATATACACAGGGATTCTCACAAAGTAACAAATATATCATTGTATGGAAACTGCTTTATCGTGATAACAGTTAGCACTTTGTTCGTTGGAAGTTGCATCACGGTGACAAACATGACCAAGAGAACAATGGTTCGAGGGGGAAAAAGAACAATGTAGTTTGGTTCACACAACAAAGAATGAAGGGAAATAACTGCCATATAAGGAACGCCTTATGCTAAATCGCCAATCACATATGCACTTGTTCATACTATTACATTTATTATGATCAGCCTGTAAAATTATTTATCGGTTGCACTATTTTATGAGCAAACACAAACTGATGCAATGGTCACACCAAGTAGGCGGGGATGAATTGAAGTTCCTTGGATTGCTACCATGAGTCTCCCAGTAGTCACAGACTTACAATTTCATGTCTCACTATGTCGAAGAACGACATGCTGCAAAGAATTGAAATATAATCTTAAGAAAATGCACCAACTGACTGAAGTACTGTTGCTAAGTACAAAATAAGATTACAGTTTTTTCATGACAGAAATTACCTTAATCTGCGTCCGGTTGTATGTGTATGTAATATGTACGAGCTCATCCATGGTCTGGATTACCGCAGGATATGAGAACTCCATACCTTTGGTGTCCTCTAGTGTCATTACCTCGTTCCATGAATCACCGTCATCCGTGGAGACTGCAATCTTAAGTGTGCCCCTGGAGAAAGTGTTGTAAGCAACTAGTACTCTTCCATCCTTCATCTTAACTCCATCGATCCCTTGAGGTGTAAAGTCCAGTGGAGAAAACAGAGAATTATCAAACACTATACATAAACTATTTATTGATGTGCTCCCACCAGACGTGATCTCTGGAGACTAGTAAAACATTTCCCAGCGCAAGAAAAGGGTAGTGAAGCAAGGAGAAGGCTAATTTAGCCAAACGGTTAAGAACAAACCAGAGTTTGGATTAGGAAGCTCAGTCTTGTGCGCGTAGCTCCATGTCACACCTCCATCTGCAGAATCCGCCAGGCAGACACGGCCAATTGTCTCAAAAGATCGCAAAAGCATCCGAATTGTCCCATTGGCAGTTTGGTATGGAACTGGCTGAATCACCCCAAGTGTTTCACCTTCTATGTATATAGGACCGTGCTTCCGCCATGTCCTGCCACCATCTTTTGTGACCTATAAGTTGTTAAGAGGACTCGTTAGAACCACAATACAGGATGTGATAAACGCTTGATGTAAGTCTCCCTCCGATCCATATTAATTGTCACAGCTTGGAGCATATTTTTTTTTCTATATAAAAAATGAGACACTGGAACATAGTAGTTACCTCCAACCATGCACCCCAAGAGTTCCAGCTTTCTACCGAGGACCCACATAGCAGGCGACCATCTTCAAGCAGGAAAGGCTACATTGAAAAAGTTGTCATTAGGAACCAATTTACTCAATAAAACATGGCGTCATGATGCCCGTACCCCTCCCCCCGCGTCGTCCGCTCTCGGGCGACTCGGGGGCGCAACCCTAGTCGCCCGCCGGTTCCCCACCGCCCCTCCTCCCCGAGAACGTATCCTGTGCACCTGCCAAATCTGTGCACCAGGTGCACCAATAGGTTTTGGGCCATTAGATAAAAATGCAACGTGCCAGATTTTGCCATACGTTGGACTATACCATATTTACGGAAGCAACCTTATGGTTTATTATATTTGACCCACACTGCACATCACATTCTTCCATCAATAAATTTATGTGTTTAATTTTTTGGCCCATACACAAAAATGGTTATATACTTTGAACCGAATGCCTGATTTTTGAATCTGTTTTGATTGTCAACTTTGTCTTCACGGCTCATGAAATCTTTGAAACAAGATCAATGTTGAATATGTTGTCCAATTATTAGTCGTGTGCATTTTAAAACTTAAACTTGAAATGTAATTTAAGCATGTGCACATGGGATCGACGTGTGGAGGGAGAGGCAGAGTTTGAAAACATATAAAGTACATCTAAGTTTCAATAGAATACATATAAATGTTATTTTTGCAGGGACAAAAAATATAAATGTTACAGCGACATTAAAAAAATATAAAAAATATTTGGCATTGATCTTGTTTAAACATCTTGTCAAAACAAAAATGGTAGTCAAAGACAAACCAAATTCGGATGTACGATTCAACATATATGAGGATATTTATGTTTTGAGAAAGAAATAAATAACACTGACTTAATGATGGGAGAGGAAAGAGTGGAGTGCGGATTGTTTTTGACACAGTATGAGGTCTTCTCTGCAAATGTTCCACCAATCTATGCTTCAGCCTACTTCCATCCCTCCGATATGTATCCGACGGCTATGGTGTCATTGGTGCATCCGTTGCACCAATTGACCTGGTGCACAGGATACGTTCTCCCTCCTCCCCCGCCGCCGCCGGCAGCCGTCGCCGGGCTTGCCCGCGCGGCAGTAGGCGGCGGCGGGGCTTCCCTGCCCGCCCGCCTCGGCCTCTGGAGACCCCCCTCCCCGCATCAGAAGACGCCGCCGCCCGCTTCCTACCGTCTCGCCCCCTCCCGATCCAGTGCGGGGGCCTCGGCGCCGCCCATCAACAGGCCGGCTCGGCCCTGGATCGGGGCGCTCCTCCGATCTAGCGGCTGGTGAGCCAGGGTTCGCCGGATCCGCCCGGATCTGGCCGGCGTGGCCCTGCCTCGTCCTGCCCGGCTTGGGTTGCGCTGTGGTGCTCCCTGGTGGCGGCGGTATGGGTCTTTCTCCATGGTTCGACGGGATGTGTGCGGTGGGTGGATGCGGGGGCGGCGGCCTCGGGTGGTGTGGATGGCGTTGCCTCTGCGAGCGACGACCGTGGGTGCTGGTGGTCCGCGACTTCGGCCGCGCGGGCGGCGAGGTCTCAGTGGACGTCTACTACAGTGGGTCGGGGTGCCCCGTCACCCGGCGTGACTGCTTCGATGAAGTCGAACGCCTTCTTCGGCTGTGTGCGCTCCTCTGACCAGGTCTTTGGCCGAGTGGATGGGATGGGGGCGGGACCGGGGGAAACCCTTGGCCGTCGGCGGAGGCCACGACAATGGCGGCGCCTTTGTTGGGCGTCGGTTCCCTTCTTGGAGGCCTTGTCGAGGTCCTCTCCCATCTTTCACTGTGCTCTCCTTTTGGGCGAAAGCTCTAGTTCCCCTTGTGGGCGACGGCGTCGTACCCTCGTCATGCTCCTTCTTGAAGGCGTCGCCTCGGGTTACCGGAAGCACGGTGGGCGCTTTGCGGTGTGTGTGAGGTGTTTGGCGGCGGCAATGTGTGCAACGTTTCATCTATTCTACCGCCGGTCTTCATCTTGTGGTAGCGCTCCTTCGGCTTGGAGATGGACTGGCATAGGTGGTGGTCGTCATTTGGCGTCATGGTGGCGTCGATGGCGGAGGAACCTGCCAAGGTTGGTACCTCAATCTGCTCTGAAGATGGACAAGTGGAAGATGGTGGCGACGACACATGTGAGTGCGTCGGACTGGATTGTGCCCCAGACCCGGTATGTGGCTCGGTCGGGGCTTCCAGCTTTAGATGTTAGGCTTAGGTGAGAGGACTGGGTATATGGCCCAGCTTGCACCCCTTCATCATATGGATAGGAGTAGCGGCATAGGTTGCCAAGATGGTGGATTCAGACATATTGTTGTACTACTTTGTAAGGTCCTCGAGAATAATCAATAAAATGGCCGCATGCATCTCCCAGATGCAGAGGCCGGGGGTCATCCTCCTTTTCTAAAAAAAATGCTGACAAATGCCACAAAAGCAGTAAACTACTACTGACTTGTTAACGATCAATAGCAAAACTGCTGTTAAATGTGCACACTGCATACTTGTATAGAGAACTATGCAAGATAGAAAAAACCACAAATTTAGACATGCCTTGTTCTTAATAGGGCCAAGAATACCAGGCGGTAGCTGCTCTCTCTCTGACCAGGATATGCCACCATCCAGCGATCTTTTCATGGCACCACTCCACCTGAACAAGTTGAGTTTATCATGAAGTCACCGAATACAATCCTATTAAAAAAATATCATTTGGCTTCATCTAACTGCTCTATCCCGCGGTTCTCTTGCCAGTTCAATCCAACATCAAAGGCCAAAGAAGGAAAATAAAGTTCTTACTTCTGAACTTCCTGACCAATCTTGTAGAAGAGGAGCAGCTCATGAGAAGGGAGCTGAAATAGTACAGGATTCCACATGGGCACCCCATCTTGTTCATCAGCAACTTCTGGAGGATGCCAGTGACCATCCTACAAATGTAAATGTAAGATTCTTAGGAAGAACTGATATCTCATTTAAGAGACAAAAAAATCGAAGTGTCCTGGATAGATTGAACCCACACTGTATCTCTGCAACCAGATTTTGACATCCGGAGCACCTTCCTTGGATCCACCAAAATAAGCCACCAAAAAGTTGTCTTTCCCAATCTAGCAAGAGAAATTTCACCTATAAGTATTTACTATGATATTTCCTTTTACAAACTTTGTCGCATCCTAAAGCTATATAGTACCTCTACAATGGTGGAAGCATGGCAGCTACTGAAAGGGGCACTTCCAGCTGAAAATGTCAGCTCCTCCTTCACAATGCTCCATCCAGATGCCGCATTCTCAGTCACGTTGGTAATGTTATGAGTGCCGCCTTCCATCTGCTGTCCAGTTTCCACCTTGCTGGCACTCAGGTTAGCAATAACCTCCAATGAAATTTTTTGAAGCCTATTTCAACTTATTCAGCTGCACATACAGTCATACACTAGACTAGACTGAAAAAAGAAGACTTTCCTGAGGTTATAGGAAGACAAAACAGAACTTACCCGTTAATAGGCTTTGAATTGGAGTCGATCTCATGCAATGATCTAGAAGATGCAGTGGTGATGACGAAAGGTTTATTGTTGAGGAGTATGGTCTGAAGTGAACAAAAAATGAAGAGGAGCAGGGAGAACATCAGTATGCAGGCTGTTGCGCTCAATGCTATTTGTTTTTTGCTGCAACTGTGGACGGTGAGCATCACCTTCTTCAGTAGTGTCCTACCTGCTGCAGCTTAGTACAGAAAATGAGTTAGGGTCCGGTTACAGATGATTCGAATCAAGGAATGGGAGCAGGAAACATGTAGGGAAAGGGCACAAAATGAGGCATCAAAACAAAGCTAGCTGAATATCACAAGTCGACAACAAGCGAACGGACGATGCTGGTGCCTTTGGGTCTGTATAACTAGTCAAATTCGAGTACAGTACTACAATGGAGATTAAAGATGCTGCATCTTAGTACAGGGAAAAGGAATGGATTGGTCTTCCTGTTGTGCTCTACGATGAAGTACGTACCACCATACAAGTGGCAAAAGAGCAATCAGTGAACTGTTTATTAGGCCCTAAAACTACTAGCATTTTACAATCAATCAAGCCCGTCAGATAAGATAGCTTCCGGACGATTCCATGGTCCGTCTCAAGGGCAAGGAGGGAAGAACTCTGAGAAAATTAAGAGGGGGATGATCCGGCGATGGGGGTGCTCTCCTGGCCCCGGGCGCGCATTGCCAAGGAAAGAAGAATCAAGCGAAACGAGCAGCGGGATCAAGGAAAGCACGGCCAAGGAAGAAGCTCTGACGCGGACTCACTGACTTGTCCTGGGGTAGCCGCGGCTGCGTGCGTCAACGCGAGGAGGATGCGGGGATTGGGCGATCCAGATATACACCGCCCGGTGCGAGTGCGAGTGCGACTGACAGGAAGAAAGAGAAATGAAAGACTGGTGGATGGATCGAGACGGGTTTATCCGGTGGTTGGTGCGTGCTCGGCGGCATTTGTTCGGATTTTTTTTGAAAGTATAATGAATTTTATAGCAAATTTGAAAACTATACGCCCTAATGCATAAAAATCAAAACTATGACCCCGTCGGCCTTCTGTTGACCGAAGAGGTCCTTTTCGGCCTACCGTTGGCCGAAGTGAGCTCTTCGGCCTTCACTTGACCGAAGAGTGGCTAGCTGGGCCGAAGACAGTAGCTTCAGCTTACTATTGGCCGAAGAGTGGTCTTCGGCTTCGTCAAGGCCGAAGAGTGCCGAACCCATCCATCGATCTCACATGGCATTTATCTAATCACGCGCAGCTAGCCGTTGGTGGCTTGCTGCTACTGTATTATCTAATCATCTGCAGCATGTACTAATGCATGTGATGTCCCAGACGCTCGCCTCGCTGCAGTTACAGACTCGATGGAATTGACCTGTCGTTCCATCCACCCATCCATCGATCTCACATGGCATGCAAAGTTTGTACGTCCACGTGCCCGCTCATCTGGTGATGGAGATGGTACCGCATGTGCATGTAGGAGCCTTGAGGCTAGGAGCTACATTTTGTATACTGCTAATAGCGGTCTGCTATGAAATTCATCATACAAAATAGTGCTTTGCATGTGGATGTACTATCTACGTATACTAGTACCAGTGCAGGATTATTTTGCCAATCACGTGCAAGTGCATGGTCCGTAGTAGTAGTGTGTGTTAGAGCAACTCCAACCGACGATCCAAACGAACAAAAAGCGAACGTTTGGGTCAGCCGAACGGATGCATGTGTCCGGTTTTTCGTTTAGGTCGACGCATGCACCCAACGCTGGCAGGACGTTTAGGTCGACGCATGCACCCAACGCTAGCCGCCCTCCTCCTCCTCCGGCTTCATCTTTAGGGGTGGCGCGGGGTACACGGGGTTGGCCTGCATGCCACGACGGTAGTTTTCCTCGTGCTCGAACGCGGATCAGACCTCCCAGTCGGGAGAGTCGGCCGCGTATGCCGCCATCCGCCGCTGCTCCGCCATGAGCAGCTCACGCCGCCTCGATCACCAAGATCAATCTAGAAGATGCACATCTATGAGAGAAGAGTGGTGTCTACATACCCCTGTAGACCGAAAGCGTTAATGATCTAGAGATCATGGTTAGCGTAGTCGTACTCGCGTCGAGATCGCGGTTTGGGTTTGGGTCCGTGCGTTTGGACCAGTGCTTTGGTCCGTTTCGACCCAAACAGTTACGCACAGATGAATTGAGTCGGCTCGGTTGGAGTTGCTCTTATAGCCGCGTACTAGCGCACATGCATTAGTACATGCAGCAGGTGATTAGATAATACAATAGCACCAACGGCCAGCCGCGCATGATTAGATAAATGCCATGTGATATCGATGGATGGAACGACAGGTACGTGCATCTGCATGCATGTGAGATCGGGTCCATACTGCTGCATGCATATGAGTCAGCGTATGTACGTGCAGCTGCAGCGAGGCAAAGCGCCTTGATGGGTCCGGCACTCTTCGGCCTTCAGGAAGCCGAAGACCACTCTTCGGCCAAGAGTAAGCCGAAGCTACTATCTTTGGCCCATCTGGCTACTCTTCGGTCAACGGGAGGTTGAAGAACTCACTTCGGCCAACGGTAGGCCGAAAAGGCCCTCTTCGGCCAACAGAAGGCCGACAGGGTCATAGTTTTGAGTTTTATGTACTAAGGCGTATAGTTTTCGAATTTGCTATAAAATTCATCATAGTTTCAAAAAAAATTCCATTTGTTCACGGGGCGAGGGCGAGGCCGCGGGGGCGGTGCCACCCGGCAGCGAGTGTAAAGACAGACCCAGGCGGACTCGAAGCTACTCGAGTAATCGGTTCACTAATCCGCCGAAGAAAAATACGAAATCAAGTTTTCTTTTGTCCATTGCTGCAGGAAAGTTAATTTAGACCATGTTTATTTCCAGGGACTTATTAGATTAAGGACTTAAAAAAGTCCTTATAAGTCTCATCTAAACCAAACAGGAGGAATTTATAGGAACTTAAAGTGGTGATTTGGGACTTATCAAAAAAGACTCTCAGGGAGGAACTTATAGGGACTTTTCCATCGATTCCCCCTGCCCCGCACCTAACCTTATCGCTTCGCTTCGCTCCTTCCCCGCATCCCCGCTCTGCTCCAATCGCCGCCGCCGGCTGCAGTACCCTAAACCGCCGCCGCCATGGCCGACGATGAGGAGGACCGGATCCCCTCCTTCTCTCAGTTCCACGCGCATCATCAGGCATCCCAGGGCTCATCCGCTGGGGGAAATCTCAGGAGGGGAATGGGATTCTTAGATCTCAACCACAACGTTGGCGACTTCCCGGAGTTGGGCTCGTTCCAGCAACTCCTCTTCGACCAGTCCGCCGGCCATGGTCTTCCTCCTACTGGACCTGGTCGTGGGAGGCCCGTGTCTCAGGGCGGAGGAGGCCGAGCACGGTCTCTGAACATCGGAGGCCGAGGCGGCTCTCACCTGCGTCCGTTCATCGCCCCGGGCGCAGCTGCCGTTGAGGGAGGCGTGATAGGGCGTGGGAGGACCGTGTCGCAGGTCACCGGACGCGGTGTAGGTCGAGCCCATGGGTCCTCATCGGCCGGCAGTAGAGGAAAAGCTGCGGGGAAGCAACGTGTGTCGTCAACTACTGCATCTTCAGAAGATGTCGATGAGAATGAAGGCTTTGAAGATGAAGATGAGGATTTTGCTGTTGGAGAGGTAAAATTCTGATTGGTATACATAGTTAGTTTTCTGTCACATGGTGCAAACTCATCTTCTTTATATGCTAGCTGATTGTGTGTACAATGGTATACCTTGGTGTAGAATTTGTACTAGCTTGATTCTACTTTTGTTTGAATTGTGTATTTGTTATTTTTTGTTTAGAAAAACATTGCCAAGGTTGATTGGACAGACGAGCATATTACTGTATTTTGTAACATCGTCTGTGAGGAAGCTAGGGATGGGCACTGTGTGAATGGTACTTAGACAAGTAGAGCCTACAATAACATGAAGAAAAAAAATTATCAGCATGCTGGCCTCCTCCATACTACCAAGCAATTCAAAACTTGCATAACTATACTCAAGAGCCACTATACTGCTTGGGTGTGGTTGGGGCAGCAAACTGGTTGTGGCCGAACTGGAGATGGAGCTATAACCGCATCGAATGAGTGGTGGAAAAATGTAATTAAGGTACATACATTATTCTGCAAATTACATCTGAATTGCTCACACTTGGTTACATTATTTAGCCTTGTCCTAATTATCTAACTAATGTTGCAGGAGAGACCAGATGTCAGAAAATTCAAGGGTGGCAATCCTGAGTATTTGGATATGCTAATAGAGCTATTTCAAGGTGTGGCAGTTGATGGATCATCAGCTTATGTGCCCATAGATGAAGATGAAGAAGAAGATGTTGTTGCCGATGATGGAAATGAGGAGAGTCCAATGAGCACCACCAACAGGAAAAGGGGAAGCAGCGGCGGTGAACAGTCAGCTTCAAGCCCAGGCAAGAAACACAAGAACCCAATGGTAAAACTAATGACAGGGCTCATCAATACTATGACTAGTGAGAACACTTCTGACATGATCACTGAATATGCAAACAAAAGGCAGGAAGCAAAGGACAAGGCAAAAGAGAAGAAAGCAAACAACACTAAGGAATCCATTACTCATTGTCAACTGTTGGCAGTTCAATGTGGTGCAGAAGAAACAAGTGTTGAGTACTTCATGGCAACTCAACTGTTTGCAGATGAGGCAAACAGAGTCATATTTCAGAATATTTCAAGTGATCAGGCTAGACTGACTTGGTTGAAGAGGTGGTGCATGATGAAGAAGTTGTCCTAGTGTAGTAGTGATCTTGTTTGTCCTTTTTCTAATATATGTAATGGACCTGTACCGTGTGACCTTGTTAAATGATCATTGCATGTTATTGTGTGTCCTTTTTCATGCATGTACTAATGTCCACCAAAAAATGTCATATGTTGAGTCTCTATGTCTGTTTCTGTGGATAGTAGGTTCCCCTCAATCTGTTAGACAAGCAGAAAACAGATTTGTTAGGTCATTGGAGACAATTGTAAGGAAGTTTGATAAGGTTTTGGCCTGTCTGATCAAGCTAGCAAAAGACATCATCAGGCCAATAGATCGTCAATTCAGAACTGTGCATTCAAAATTAAGATCTAGAAAGTATGCACCATTTATGGACAATTGCATTGGTGCAATAGATGGGACACACATACAAGTTGTGGTACCACTTGCCACTGCTGCCCAACATAGGAATAGACATAAGGAGAAGAGTCAGAATGTGATGTGTGTGTGACTTTGATATGAGATTCACATTTGTCCTAGCTGGTTGGCCAGGATCAGTGCATGACATGAGGGTCTTCAATGATGCCCGATCCAGATTTGGTGACAAGTTTCCAAAACCACCACCTAATAAGTTCTATCTTGTGGACTCAGGGTACCCAAATAGACTAGGTTATCTTGCACCATACAAGGGTTTAACCTATCATTTCCAGGAGTACCGTGATGGCACAATGCCTAGAGGAAAAAAGGAACACTTCAATTTCACCCATTCTTCACTTAGAAATGTCATCGAGAGGTGTTTTGGAGTCCTGAAGAACAAGTGGAGAATTTTGTTTCACTTGCCTAGTTATCCACAACAGAAACAAAGCAAAATCATTGTGGCTTGCATTGCACTGCACAATTTTATTAGACAAAGTCAACTACCTGATATAGAGTTCGACAAGTGTGATCAAGATGAAAACTATGTACCATTGTCTATGCCAACGACTACAACAAATGATTCAACAAATGAGATGGACAGTGCTGCTATGAATCAATTCAGAGCTTGGGTCGCTGATGGGTTGTGGTCCTTGAAACAACAATGATATGAACAAGTGTTCTTCGCTTATGTAATCTCTGTTATCTCGGTTGTTATGTAATCTCTCTTATCGGTTGTTATGAACAAGTGTTGCAACGAACAGGTGTTAATTCGTTTGTGTGAACAAGTGTTGCAACGAACAGGTGTTAATTCGTTTGTGTGAACAAGTGTTATGAACAAGTGTTATTTCGGTTGTCACTATTCTGTAATTCATTTATTACTAAGGGTAACATGGACTTATAAGTTTCTGTAAACAAACAGGTAGGGACTCGGGACTTATAAGTCCTAGGACTTTTTTAAGTCCCAACTTATAATTCTCGAGTCCCTACCTGTTTTAATTCTAGCTAAACACTGTTTTAATTCTAGTTTGTCTGAACATTGGGATGCCAATGCATCTGACTTTATTCTTCCACAACTTGTAAACGATATGGCAATCGTATAAGGAATAAAGTTTGATACTTTTCAAAAAAAGGTGTATCATCATTTCATATAAAAAAGCCGGACGGCCTGTACAATGCAAACAAGGCAAGCAACACCACATTTATCCCTAGGATTAGAACCAAACCTACTGCAAATAAGAACAAGGAAACTCCTTGCCTAATGTCCAGCCAAAAATATGATAAGATGGGGCAGTGAGCAACCATATCGCGTCACTATAGATGCAAAACACATCCAACCACGACACCAATCACCAAATCAACTGGATCAACATATCATCTCACCCATGTCGCCTAGAGAAAACGACAAGTGAGCGATAGGACCTAGCCGGATCTGTGCAAGTAGACGCGCCAGAAGCATCGGCGATGGCATACATTATGTCCCAGTGGCTCAAGACTTGAGAGGGAACCCAAACCGAGAATTGAGACGCCCCAAAGCTCCAACACCGGGGACTCTGCGAGTAGCAAAGTCAGCGTGATGTGGGGTGCGGACCCTAGGTTGCCCAATCTTGAACGACTTGAAGGGGAAAAGGAGGAACACTCAAGAAAACAAGGGAAACACTCAAACAAGACCCAATTACACATTCACTAAAAATAGGCAAACACATGAGATCCATAAAAATAGACGAACAACAAAGAGAAAATAGTAGCAAGGGTAATTCTTCTCAAATCCACGAGGAGGTTAGGTCTTGTGATCTATGATGGGACACTGCTACCAAGACAGAGGTCTTGTGATCTTGAGAGATCCTTCTCCCAAGATGGAGGGCTTGTTCCTCTAGGAGGAGATACAAAGAGCAAAGCTCTCTCAGTATGTCTAGCTGTACTTTGCTAGTCCTTGAAAGGAGGAGGGGTGTCTATTTATAGTCTATGTTGGATTAAGGGCGAGAGAGTGGGATACATAGCGAACTGCACGCACGTAGGGCCGGACTGCCCAACAATGGACGGATGGTCCAGTTTCATCGTAAATCCACTATTGCCTTGCCGAACATCCAGATTGGTAGTTGGACCATCCGGGTAGGAGTCCAGACGTTCGGGCATGCGCAAGAGTTGCTCTTCTTCTCCTCCTTGCTCTGCTTTTGCCCTTGGTTGGCCTTGCTCCATTGCTCCTCCATGAAGTCCTTCTTATCTAAGTATGTAAAGGGTTTTCGCTTGAGGTAGTAGCCATATCTCACTTGTATACATAGAGAGCTCAAAGAGGAGAGAGGTAACCTTGGCTTCAATAGCTCATGCACGAGGTCTAGTCAATGGTCCACTTGGCGCTTGGGTGGTGGTAGCCATGGGGATGACCATTTGGTGCTCTACTGTCACACCCTCGATGCGAGTATAGCTCCCACGTGTCGAGGCACGACTTAGAGACATAATCGCATTGAAGGCATATGTCGCAAATTAGGCAATCTTCACAACATCCCATGTAATATGAATAATAAAGGGAAGAACATAGTTGGCTTACACTCGCCACGTCACATCAAAGTACATAAATAACATTACATCATCCAAAACACTCATGGCCCGACTACGGCGCCAAAATAGAAGAAAAAACCCAACATGCGACAACGGTCCCAATCACCCCCAACTGGGCACCA